GGCAGAGGCAGAGGCAGAGGCAGAGGCAGAGGCAGAGGCAGAGGCAGAGGCAGAGGCAGAGGCAGAGGCAGAGGCAGAGGCAGAGGCAGAGGCAGAGGCAGAGGCAGAGGCAGAGAGGCAGAGGAGGCAGAGGCAGATGGATGTCTGTGAGTTTGAGGCCATCTTGTTCTACAAAGGGAGTCCAGGACAGCCAAGGCTACACAGAGAAACTCTTTCTCCAAAAACCAAAATCAATCCCGCCCCCTCCCCAAAAAAAAAGCAGGCCGTCCCTTTGGTGGCACACACCTTTAATCCCAGACAGCCAGGGCTACATAGAGAAACCCTATCTCAAAAGAAAAGGAAAAAAAAAGCAGGCTGAGCAAGCCATGGGGAGCAAAGCCAGTACGCAGCACCCCTCCATGGCCTCTGCACCAGCTCCTGCCTCCAGGTTCCTGTGACCCTAACTAAGACACCGGGCCTGGGGGAATGGAGAGAAGGCTGGGCACCCCACCTGCCCAGCTTCCTCCAGCTCCCTTCTGCGTGCTTCTGAGATCAGAACCAGGCGAGAGGCCTGGCGGAGTGTGGCCTGGGTCTGGCTGGCGAGTCGGCTGGCATGACGGTAACCTTGCTTCCCTTCTCTCAGCATAGCTCTGGTGAGCTGCAAGACAGCAACAGGGAAGGAAAGAATCAGCCCTTTGGGAGAGACAGGTTTTGTTCTTTGTTTCTCTTTTTCAGTACTGAAGTTGGAACCCAGATTCTCCCACATGTTATGTAAGCACCCTAAAACAACTCACCTACTTGTCATGACGGGTTCTTACGCTTAATTTTGAAATAGGAGTTCACTGTTACCCAGAATAGCCTTGGATTTTGTGATCCTCCTGCATCAGCCTTCAAAGTAGCTGAGATACGGGCTCGTACCACCAGGTCAGGCTTGGACAACAGTTCTGATGACTTGATGCCAAGCCATTCACTTCATAACCTAGAACATGCACTCATTCATTCATTCCCACGGTCAACAGGTTTACACAGGAGGCGAGATGTCTTTCCAGTATAAATACTACAAACTACTCATTTGTCTTTCGTGGAGAAGTTTTACCTATTTTATAGATGGGGAAACAGGGGTCCAGCGAGGGGGAGGAGGAGTTGCCCAAAATCTGAGTAGCGGGACAAGAAGCTGCACCTAAAACTACCAGTTTCAGGCCAGCCCTTCAGGAATTTAGGTACCCATGAAGAGAGTTCACTTGGGTGTGAGCCCCAGATTTGAGGATGGAGACACACAAACGGGGAAACACAGACACACACAGACACATACACACGGACACATACACACAGACACACACATAGACACAGACACACACACACAGATACACACACACAGACACACATAACACACACCCACAGAGCAGTTAGAATTTGGGCCCCGTTAAAGAAACCCTAGGGGATAGGGGATGTGAATCATTTGGATGCATGAGGCCCTGAATTCCATCTTTAGACGGGATAAACTGAGGGGGGCAGCAGAAGAATCAAAGGTTCAAGGTCATTCTCAGCCAGATAGTGATTTCAAGGCCAGTCTAGAAGACATGAGACTGTCAAAAAATTAAAAAGTGGGGGCTGAAGAGAGAGCTCAGCAGTTGAGAACAGTGGCGTCTCTACATGGTTCATGTAGAGACCATGGTCTCATGGTCCCATGGTTCACAGCCAAGGGATCTCACTTCTGAGTTTTGCCTACACCAGGCATGTACACAGTCAAAATACATACATGCAGGCAAAACATTTGAACAAATAACTAAATAAATAAATAAACAAACAAACAAATAAATAAATCTTTAAAAAATTATATTAAAAAGTAAATAAGATGAAAGAAATAAAACAAAGAAAAACCTAGATGTTTAGACAACATCCCAATGAGACCAGGTATGAGTCCTGGTCATATGACTTAAGCCTTGAACTTGGCTCAGCTGAGTTCTCAACATTCTCATAGGGCTACCAGTGACTCTTTTTTTTTGGGGGGGGAGTATTAGTGAGGTCACCCACATGAACTCCTGAACTGGACGCCAGGACCCACAGCAGTTAGTAAGTGTGGGATCTTTGGCACCAAGGGCAAGAAAGTTGTCAACAAGGGCTGTTGTCCTGAACCTGACCTTGGCATTGTCCTTGGACATCAGTTCTGCTTCTTTGCTTTTCTTCTTGGCACTGGAGGAGAGAGATGCAGCATTTCCCAGCATCCTCTCTGCCTGCTTGGTCTTCCTCTTCGTTTCCTCCAGGAGCCTAGTCCTGATAGTGCCTGCTTTCCTCTTCAGTGCTGCCTGCTCCTTGGGTAGAGGAAACCTCAGCTTCATGCCTGCAAAATCGGCCAAGGCTGTGGCAGGAGGAACAGACTCACATTTGAGAGCCTGACAGAGGCAGACCAAAGATGCTTGACCAGCCCCAGCACTTTGGACAATGGAACTGGAGGTTGGAGACAGAGGAGATCTTATGAGTCCCCTCCTCAAGGTGACCCCAGGGAAAAACAAAAGGAGTGAGACATCACCCTCAGTGAGTGAAAAGACCCAGATGCTATGATGTGTCTGTATTGTGGTCACAAGGGCCTCAAGGGCCTCTGGACTGTGATGGGAGAGGGTGGGAAGAGTCTGGGGTTGAGGTTGGAAATTAATCTTTTGGGCTACAGAGCAGAGTCAGAGGAACAAAATTCATCCCAGCACAAGGAGAAGGTGACACTCAGGATGCCATGGGCATCTCCATGTGGAGAGGAGGAAGCTGAGGGCAGAGAGCCATGAGACCTACAGAGGGCAGCTTATGGGGTTGGGGATTTAGCTCAGTGGTAGAGTGCTTGCCTAGCAAACGCAAGGCCCTGGGTTCGGTCCTCAGCTCTGGGAAAAAAAAAATAAGACAAAATAACAAAAAGACCAAAAACAAACAAACAAACAAGGTAACAGAGGGCAGCTTATGACCCTCTACAGTTCAGATGCCCCCTAAAATAACACATGAAATTAAAATAACACATGACATTCTGTAGCACAGATTTACATTTCCCTAAATGTGATTTTTTTTTGGTTACATAAGCTCACACACAGCCATGCCCAATGAGTGAGTGACCAGGACCCCAGACCCCAAGGAAGCAAGACGAGATGCCCCACCCCAGCACCACTGGGCTAGAGCTACATTTCCAGTGTGCAGCAGGCAGGGCTGGAAGGAGGTGCTAGTTGGGGTGGACAGAGAGCCACAAAGGCTTATCTCTGGAGCAAAGATGGCGTGGCAGGAGTCAATCACACAGCACCCCATGAGGCAGAAAGAGTGCTCATCTCTGACTCCAAGATGGATAAGCAATTGATATTCTCATTCAACAGGTCAGTTGGCTTCTTTTTTCTTTTATTTGTTTGTTTTTGTTTTTCTAGACAGGGTTTCTCTGTGTAGCCTTGGCTGTCCTGGACTCATTTTGTAGACGAGGCTGGCCTTGAACTCATAGAGATCCACCTCTGTGGATCTGCCTCTGCCACCTCTGCTGAGATTGTAGGCATGTGATACCCCACCACCACCACCACCACACACCATAACTTCATTTTCTTAAAGTTGCAGAAGTTTGGGCAGGCATCACAGCTTACCCAACTCTCAAGAGAAACTCTCTAACATAGTTTTGAGTTTTGTTTTGTTTGGAGTATTTTGATACAAGATTTCATTCAATAACTCAAGCTGTCTTAGAACTTACTTTGGTAGCCCAGGCTGGTCTCAAACTTGAGGCCTACCTTAGCTTACCATGTGCTAGTACAGGTGTGAACTACCATCCAGCAACTGGGTTTTTGGGGAGGAGGGGGGTTGTGGTGGTGGTGGGTTTTTGTTGTTGTTTGCTTGCTTGCTTGCTTGTTTGTTTTTGTTTCTTGAGACAGGATTTCTCTGTGTAGCCCTGGCTATCCTAGAACTCACTATGTGGTCCAGATTGGCCTTGAACTCAGAGACCCACCTGCCTCTGCCTCCTGAGCCTGGGATTAAAGGCGTGCACCACCACCACCTCAGTCAGGAGAGCTCAGAGTGCTCTACTTACCTCAGTTTACCTAGTGCTAGGAGTACAAGTGTGAGCCACCATGCAGAAGTTTGATTTTGTTTGCTTTTGCTTTCCTTCCTTTTTTTTTTTTTTTTTTTTTGGGGGGGGGGAGTCTCACATAGCTCAGGATAGCCTCAAACTCACTATGTATTCAAGGATGAACTTGAATTTCTGATCCTCCTGAGTGCTAAGATTACAGGCATGCACCGCCATGCCTGGCATATTTGGGGCCTCATGCACAATCAGCAGGCACCCTGTCAGCTGAGCCATACCCTCAGCCCTGGCTCTTTTTACCTGTGCTAAGGAAGGGACTTGGGACCTCACAGATGGCTCTCTACCACTGAGCCACACCCCTGCCAGTGACAGCAGATTCTCTTCCCATCTGCTCCTGAGGAGCTCTGTGCTTGGTCTGATAACAATAGGAACTAGTTGGGGTGGCCACAGGGCCAGTACCGGTGAGTAGCATGTGACACAGGGACAGACAAACAGCATGGAAGCCTTGAGAGGCAGGAAGACTGGTCTACCTGGCTGAAGTCTACATAGACTCTGTTCCCTGTGGCCAGGCATCTGAGGAGGGTCAGCTGTCAGAGCCCAGGACTCAACAGGACACACATACCCTCTAGGTCAGCCAGCAGGGTCTTCGCTCCTATGACCGTCACTGTGGCAGCGTGGACAGCTGAGGAAGCCTGTGTCAGGGCAGCTGAGGTCTCATAGCGTAGCTGCAAGGAGAGAAAACAAAGGCAAGGCGGCTGCCTGGACACAGGTCAAGGGGCCCAGATGGACAGGCTATGTCCCAAACCTCAGAATGACTCTGCCTGAAGATCACCGTGATTCTAGGAGCTCTGATCTGATTATATGATTGGAAGCCTCCAAGTCAATCATAAGAGGACTCCCCTGTCTTCAGAAGCCTGGAGGATGATAAGAAAACTAGAGCCAAAGGAAAAGGAGACGGCCACACACTTCAGTCCCTAACACTGCTGTGTCAGCCCAGGGCTATCACACAGCTTCTCCTCACGGAGTAACAATCAGTTCCCCCATGACTGCCAGAGGTGACTAGACAGTAAAGAACTTGGGTTTGATTGGTTTGATTGTGCAAGAGAGGACCACAGGAATACGACAGTCACAGGAAGCTGACTTCAGGGCATGGCATGAAGTGAGAGTTCTTGAACTCGGTGGCTGTGACTACCCGGATAAGCTCTGCATACATCAGCATCCTGCTATGGGCAGTGTCACAAGGTCCCGCTCCTCCCTATGGATTTATACTTAGCTAATGATTGATGGAGGAAGGAGACATTGTCTTCAGTGGTGTAGACACTGCTGTGGGACCCACAGTGTGGTGGCCTGAATGAAAATGGCCCCCCTAGGCTTATCTATTTGAATGTTTGGTCATCAGCTGGTGGAACTGTTTCAAAGGATTAGGTGTGTGGCCTTGTTGGAGGGGGTCACTGGGGGTAGGCTTTGAGGTTTCAGAAGCCCATGATGGGCCCAGCCTTGCTCTCTCTCTGCCTCCACCTGTGGCTCAGGATGTAAGCTCTCAGCTAACCCAGTACCATGTCTGCCTGCCTGCCTGCCTGCCTGCCACCATGCTCCCGGACACGATGATAATGAACAAACCCTCAAAACTGTAAGCAAGCCCCCAACTGAATGCTTTCTTTTATAAGGTGCTTTGAGCACTGTGTCTCTTCACAGCAATAGAACAGTGACTAAGACAGAAGTCATGCTCCTGAAAATAAATTCTCACCAGTGCTGCTGTAAACAACCCCACTGAAGCTAGTTGGCTTACAAAAAAAGACATGAAAGTAGAATGGTCGCTAACTTGCTGGGAAAATAAACCAGGAATGGGTGAGGGGCAAGAGCCAGTGACACGTATGAAGCTGAAGAGTGAAACTCACAATTAACTAAACAATTGCGTGTAATGAATATGTGCCAATAATAGTTGTTTGAGAAGAGAATTTGGGCTGGCTAGGCGGCTCGGTGGGTAGGAGCTTGTCACTGCAGACCCGAGCTTGATCTCAGTCCTCTCAGAGCAGAAGGAGAGAACAGCTCCCACAAGTTGTCCTCCATGCTCTTGTTGTAGCCATTGTGTGACCCCACCCACGCCCAGACACAAAAACTAAACAAATGTATAATAAAAAATAAAAGGGAAGTTGGTGTCTGGGTTGAAGAGAGCATGATTCTGGCTCTCATCGATGTAAAGGTGCTTGCTGCTGAGGCTGACAGATCAAGTTTGGTCCTCAGGACTCAATGGCAGAAAAAGAGAAAACTCTGGAAGTCAAAGGCCACAGAGGGGCGTGCGGGGCCTCAGGAGGGGAAGTGGTGGCACCGCCTAAAGGTGTGTGCTTCGGGAGGAATGAGACATCCCAGAACTAGAGAGGGGCCTCACGGCAAGGTGAGTGTGCCAAATGCCACTTACACAGGGTAAATCGTCCTGTGAGGTGGGGGCATATTCTTGTTTCCAAACACTAAATGTTGAAGAGCTCAAATATAAAGCGTTATCAGGAGCAGGGACGTGGGCCTGGGTGGCGGGACGCTTAAAGGAAGCTTTATGTTGCATTGTGACTTCTGGGCATATATAAATATTTATCTTGCTGCTGTTGGAAATTCCAAGTGGGCACTTAGCAATAACCAAAAAAAATATCTGAGGCTGAAAAAAAAGTTTCTTATATGATTTGCTACAAGTGAACAACAGTGGTTTGAAGAGCCAGGGAAACCTAAGTTTTGCTCCTGAGACTGGGTGGGAGGGAGAGGGTGCTGTGAGGCTTGTGGACAGCAAAGCATCTGCAGGAGTTTTGACCCTCATATGACTCTCTTCCCAGAAGAGCTGCCTCCGGTCCTGGCTTTCTCACCCTGGGATAGGGGTGTGGGTCAGGTCAGAGGGCACTCTGTGGGGTCCTCAAGACAGCAAAGCTCTCCTGGGTAGGTGCCAGGTCCTGGCTCCAGTCCTCAGTTGCTTCCTTTCTCATCAAGATAACTTATCTTCTGGGTTGGTAGGGAAGCTGGGGGCTTCTGGGAAACCCATGGCCACCATTGTGTGGGGTGCTGAGTCAGGCCAGCAGGTTGGGTCCCTGAGTGGTGTCACATTGCTCTCCTGAATTTGGCACCCATCCCGTGGCTGGCTAAAACACCAACATCAGAAGGCCTCATGGAAAGGGTCTGAACGCTTTGGGTGCTGTTCATAGGGCCTTCCCATAGCCTGAAATTACGCCCCAAGGAAACGCTCAAGCACGGCAACTTTAACCAGGTCTTCTCTATGTTAGCAGGCTGGTCCAAGTTAAACAGCATAGCCTAGAACCCTCCACCCGCATCTGGTGCCATCTGTCTGGGCTGGACACCGTGCTGTGTGGCGTAACAGAGTCCCATGGGCTGCTCACAGTGGGTGCCTCTGAGCATGGGGTTTCTATGGGCAGAAGAAAGGGAATCGACGCAAGAGCCATCCAGTTGTGACTGACCCTAAGAGAGGGTGCATGGATATAGTCTCAATCATCCACATGCCTGCCCGTTTGTCTGTCCGTCCTCTCTCCTCGAACCACTTCACCCTTTCTCAGCAATCAGACTTCCCTCTCGTGCCTTGACCAGCCTTTAAAGCTCTTAGGCATTTTGATGGAGACATCAGGCACTTGGGAGTGCTATTTTTCGTGTTTCCACCCCACCCCACCCCAGGTTCCTTCGGAGGCAGCCCCTCCCCCTCCTGTGTCCCAGGTTCAAAGCTGACCTGCACGAAGGGTTCCATCTTCCTCAGGGCTCTCCCAGCCTCCACCTGCAGGGCTCCCACGGCCTGGCCTGCCTCGCGCTCCTTCTGCTCCAGCTTCCGCTCCAGGGCCTTCACTCTCCGGTCCAGGTCCCTGGCTTGGGAATTCTGAGGCTGTGAGGAGACGGTGGGTTAAGGACCAGACCCTCTACTGGGGAGAAGGTGTGTCCTGTTGTGCTGAGGGGCAGCCTGTGGCAACTAGCCCAGAACTGAAGCTTTTGACCCTGGTCCCAGAGTGCCTCAGGGACCTCAGATATCCAGCCACAGGGCAGTGGCAGGAGAAGGCAGGGTTGCAGAGAAGCCAGGCTGGGGAACCTGTCCCTAGAGCCTCAGACCCCATGGTATAACTGCCTTTCTTCCTGGCAAGGTGAGAGTCCCTCCCCAGGCCCACAGTTCTTCCTCCACGTGAATCTTGACCCATGTGCTTCCAGACATGGGTCAAGACGTTAGCCACGCAGAACTGTGTATGATCCCAAGCTCTCACTGGTATCTAGGTCATCCAGGTTATTGCATGTGAGGAAAGCAAGGGAAGCCACAAGGCGGCAGCTGCAGGCAGCCTGTGTCCCAAAGGCATTTGGACAGGCTTCTGTGTTTTAGTTCCTTGGTGTTGGGGGTGGAACCCAGGGCTTTGTGCATGCTGAGCAAACACTCTCCCTGTGAGCCATACCAAGAACTGACTTAGCACTCTACTAAAGCTGGGTTTCTGAGACCGGAGATCTCAGGATTCCCCAACAGACAAGCTGGGCAGGATGGGAGAAGGGATGAGTATTAAATCATGGACTCCAGCTCCCTCCTCTAAAATTAAGCTACAGGAGGGTGAGCCAACAGGATAGAGGACCACTAGTGGCTAAAACTCAGAGACTGGTCAAGGTCAAGGTCACTTTTGGAGTGGGAACTGGGACACACATCATCCCCACCCCTCCAATGTCCTTGTTCATGTCGTAGTTCCAGCCTTGGTATGGAAGACAGGCTGAACCCCACCTGTTTCAACAGGCCTCTTCTCTGTTACCAAGAAGCCATGCCCCACTCTGCCTGGCCCTCTGGCTTCTCCATAACCTAGATCCTTCACTGCCCCCCACCCATGAGGAGCTCCAGGGATGCTGAACTGACCATTGCTCCAGGGATGACCAGCGGGACCAGATGTGGGGCCGTGTCGCCAATATCGCGCTTTGAGATGGCCAGTGCCCCCTGAGCTTTGGGCAGCAGTTCTGTCACAGCTGTGCCCAGAGCAGTCTGAGCTGCTTGCACCTCCTGGTACCTGGGAGGGAAGAGGTGAGGATGAACCACAGATCAGGGGTAATATAAGAAACCCCTCTCCATCTCTATCAAACCTGCTGAAAGGATCTGCAAAGCCCTCTCCCACCTCCTGGAAGGCTCATCCTGTTCAGGTCAGGACGCAGTATACTGTGTGTGTGTGTGTGCATGCCTGTGTGTTTGCCTGTCTGTGAGTGTAGGTGTCCAGGGAGGTGAGAAGCATCAGACCCTGGAGCTGGAGGTCCGGGCAGTTGCAAGCCCCCCGATGTGGGTGCTGGAAACTGAACTTGGGTTCTCTATGACATCAATAAGTGCTCCTAACAGCTGAGTCATCCTCCAGCCTCCAAAGCTGCATAATGAGCCGACCCATTATTCCCTTATTCAGTTTGGGAAGCACGTGTTCTACAGACTCTCGGATCCTCTTGGCAAATTGCAGAGGAAGCTGCCTGGGGGCGGGGCAGGGATGTATGGACAGTGACCTAGGCTGTGATCTCGGCTGGCCATGCCCTTGCTGCTGACCTTTGGTGTATGTTGCTGATTGGATGGGAAGTGACCACCATGGACTCATTTGAACAGTTGGTCCCCATTCAGTGGCATTGAGAATTTGGTGGAACTTTTAGGAGGTGGAGCTCTGCTAGAGGAAGTGGGTCACTGGGGAGAGGACCTTGGGATGTTATGGAGGGGGTCTTCCTGTTCATTCTTTGCTTCTTGACTGCAGATACAACATGACTCCCTGCTGACCCTGCCCCATGCCTCCCCTGCATGAAGCCATGCATAACTGGCCAGCAAAGATGAAGATTTAGCCTAAGCCTCTCGTTTTCCCTTTGTGATCACGTTACTGAAACCATGGACCCCAGGGATTGTAATTCCCTCAGGAGCCGGGTTGTAGTGGTGCACACTTTTAATCTCAGCACTTGGAAGGTGGAAGCAGGCAGATCTCTAAATTCAGGGCCAGCCTAGTCAACAGAGTGAGTTCCAGGACAGTCAGGGCTACACAGAGAAGCCCTGTCTCAAACAACAACAAACTAACCAAGAATTTCCTCAGGAGAAAGCCTATAGCCAGAGGGGAAGGCCTACAGTCTGACCCAGCCAGCGGGGGAGCCTTTTCCCCAGATCATAGGAAAAGGAACAGAACCAGAACAATGATGGGTTTCCATGGGGCAGGGCCACACCTTGACCAGGACTGCTTAAACAGTAACCTCTCATCAGGACCCCAAAGATGGGCTGACAGCGGCAGCGAGGTGTTCCCCACTGGAGGTCTTTGTCCCTCTTTCCAGTGTGGCCACATTGACATCCTTTTTCCTTTTTTCACTATTAAACCGGCTTATCAAGGATGGGTGGCTGGACTGGCTTGTTGGGGTACTCAGAGCCCAGTAATAGCATCTTCCTCACCATGATGGAAGAACTTCCTCGAACTGGAAGCCAAGTAAACTCTTTCCTCCCTTAAATTGTTTCGCATCAGGTATTTCGTCATAGCAATGAGGAGGATAATTAAGACTGTATTAATGGGGAGCCCCTAGCTGAGTGACAGGAAGGACTGGGGGGCTGGATTTTGAAGCAGCGGCCTCTGGCTGGTTCTTATGGGCTCCTAGAAGCTGATCTCAAGCTTCTCCACACACCTGTGGAGGCCTCACCTGTCCTCCAGTTCTTGCTGGACCTCCGAGGCCACTCTCCCCTTCAGCAGATTCCACAGGAGCTCGCGGCTGGCGTTGGAGGCGAGCAGGGCCCTCTGTGCAGTGGCTGCGATCTTGGTGGCTGTGTCCCTGTGGCTGTGTGGATTGGCATGACACTCACTGCGAGCACACACAGAGGCAGGGGTGCCCAGGCCACACCCCTGCTTCACGGGTCTCCACGGGGACAGACCCCTTTCCACCCACCTCCCGCTGCAGCAACGGCAGCGACACTCTGGGTTTTTGCTCCTGTCACATATCAGTTACAACTCCCATGGTCCTCGCAGGAGGATTGGCAAAGGCCTATCACCCAGGGCCTCTCATAGAAAACAGCACAGCAGGGAGCAGACAAGCCAGCCTGGGATTGAATCCTGGATCTATCACTTCCCAGCTGTGTGTCCATAAGGAATTGACTTCTCTGGATCTGTCTACTCATGTCCAACGTGAGCCTACAGCTAGGCTTCTTCATTTATTTTTTTCTTTTTCTTTCTTTTTTCCTCTTTCTTTCTTTCTTTCTCTCTCTCTCTCTTTCTTTTTTTTTTAAGATTTATTTATTTTATGTATATGAGTGTTCTATCTGCATTTACACTTGCCAGAAGAGAATCAGTTCACATTATAGATGGTTGTGAGCCACCATGTGGTTGCTGGGAATTGATCTCATGACCTTTGGAAGAGCAGACAGTGCTCTTAACCACTGAGCCATCTTTCCAGCCCTCTTTCTTTCTTTCTTAGACAGGGTTTCTCTGTGTAGACCTGGCTATCCTGGAACTCACTCTGTAAACCAGGCTGGCCTCAAACTCACAGCAATCCACCTGCCTCTGCCTCCCAAGTGCTAGGTGGGTGCCCAGCCCACCTCGTTTCTTAAGACAGGGTCTCTCCCTGGGACCTAGACTAGGCTGGCTGGCTAGTATGCCCAGGATCATGCTGTCTCTGCATCCTTAGTGCTGAAATTACAAGCCGGTGTCACCACACCTGGCTTTTTACAGGGGCTCTGGGGACTGACCTCAGGTCCTCATGCTTGGGTGATAGGCACTTACTAACTGAGCCATCTCCCCAGGTCCTGTGAATTACATCTTAATAAATATATGTTTTTTTAAGCCACCAGATGCTGAGACGCATTCCACTGAGCAAGCTTTTCCCCAAAGTGTCTGAACCTCCATCCTCACCCCCACCCCAACCTCTTCCCATACTGGTAACATTTACTCTCCACTGGGCAGCCCTTGGCTCATCTGGTACTAGCTCCTATAGGCTAACGCTGACTCTGGAGCCTGTCCAAGAAGGCCTGCCCCCTGTCAACAGTATGGGCACAGTCCCCCATATCCTGAGCCCCTGGGCTCACCTCCTGGCAAGGACGTGGGCCTCTGATGCCAGATGGCTCCAATTTGTAGGTGGGATGGATCCTTCCTGAAAACTTGCCTTAAAGAAGAGAGGAAGAAACTGAGGCTCCTCCTGGAAGGTCAAGGGTTACAGCCAGCTAACTGGGCAGGATAGAATGGCTCCAATCATTTTATAACTGTGCAAAGCTAACTGTAACATCAGCGCTTGGTGGGGGGTGTCCACAGCAAACCCAGTGACACTGCCTGCCATTGTGCGTTCACTGTCTACTCAACATATATTTGCTTTTCGCAAATAGTGACTTTCTCTGAAGAGACCTAGCACGACCCAGTTTGAAGGTGACACCAGCCTTTTTTGGTTTGTTTTTTGAGATGGGGTTTCTCTGTGTAGCCTTGGCTGTCCTGGAGCTCGCTCTGTAGACCAGGCTGGCCTCAAACTCACAGAGATCTGCCTGCCTCTGCTTCCCAAGGGCTGAGATTAAAGGCATGCACCACCACCACGTGGCTCACACCAAACATCCTATAAAGAGCACACAGAACCACAGACAACGGTCAAGGGAAGGGCTGGGGCAAAGACCGCTACATAGGCTCCAGGGGAAGCAGGGTGGGGGAGACCACGGTACCAGAAAGGAAAGAGCCGAGGCTGCTCGTAGGACCTCCTCCTCTGAGGACTGCAATGTCTCCCCCAGCTCCGACATCTGGACGCAGGTCTTCTGAGCTTCAGCCTGGGCACAGTGGGCCCTCCCTCTCAGCATCTGCACCTGCTCCCGAACGGCCTTCACGGCACCCTCCAGGCCCGCCATCTGCTCCAGGAAGGGCCCCCAGGCCTCTGTGGGGAGTGATTCCACAATCACTGAGATTCCCCTCACCCAGGCTTCCGTCTGAGACCGTCACCTGCCTGGGCACAGCTGGATCCCCAGCGCCACTCTTCCCCTTGCCTCCCACACACTACAGGAGAAACCTGTCCATCTTACATCTGCAAAGGCTGGGGCCCAGAGAAGGCAAACTAGGGCTTGTAGCCAATCAGCCACGTACAGGGACTTGGAGGCAGGCCCTTTGGAGCCACAATGAGTGACTCCAGAATTTGGGCTGGGCAGTTGATCTCCAATTCAGTTCAGTGCGGTGATTCTCACTAAGGCTCACACGGTGACATCTAACTGCTCTTTCATTTGATGCTGCCTCCTGCTCACAGGTGCTGCGCTCACCTTCAGCCAGCTGCTGAAGCACAGCTGCTTGCAAACACAGCTGTACAAAGCGATCAACTCAGTTTCAACATTCTGCGCCCTTTCTGTAGCCCAGGGCCACATTCCACCTGGCTTAACGACAGGTCTGCTTTTTTATTAGTTGCTAATTCTTTTGCACTGTGCCAAACACTGGCTGGAGACAGGGCAGCAAGCCAACAGGTCAAGAACCAAAACCCTGGAGGACTCCTCCCATTCAGCACCTGGAACAGCGCCCCAGGCATGCCGAGCGTGCGGTAAGTGGCTTGCCTTGAACTTACGTGTAGTCAGCACAGGGCAGGAGACAGGGGACAGAGACCTGTGTTAATATCATTACAGAGCTAGGGACGGGGAGGTGAAGCCTCCGGGCTTCATGACTCTCCTGAGAGCTCTCAAACCCTACCACCAGCCCCTCACCTCCCATTCTGTCATCCCCCTGTACCTTGGTATGGGTGGTGACCTTGGTAGACAGCCCCCCGAGGGGCTTCTTCCTGCAGGATGTCCAGTGGTCCCCAGGGGCTGCCACAGTCAGACCCCTGCAGCCAACCCTCCATCTGCATCAGCCTGGCCTTCAGCTTGGCTGCCTGCAGGGCACAGTGGGGAAGGAAGGCCGGATGAGGTGCTGTGCATGACCCTTGGCTTCTGCCTGGGTCAGTCTTTCCAATCCTGCTAAGGGCTCACCAACCCCAAGGACCTATCTTGCCCACCCAACTTCATCAGCTTCTTCCCTTCTTACAGCCTAGCACCTGCTGACACCTCGCCAGCCACACCCTTGTCCTAATGAGGGAGGCATAGCGGGAGAGAAAAGGCGCTCCATAAAGATTTGTGTGCATGAGGGCATGTATGTAGATGTGCTTGTATGTGTCCATGCTTGCATAGAGAGGTGCATGTGTATATACATATGTGTGTGGAGGTCAAAGGCTAACCCTGGAAATTGTTCCTGTTTACATACCACCTACTTTTCTATTTGTTTGTTTGTTTTTAAACAGTATCCTTCCCTGATGAAAGCCTCATCAAGAAGGCTCTGCTGACTGGCCAGCAAGCCAAAGGGATCTGGTTGCCTCTGCTTTCTCAGCCTTTGATGCTGTTGTGTGCCCTTTTTACATGGTTTCCGGGACCAGACTCAGGTCTTTGAGTTTGTACAGTAAGCTCCTTAGTAACCCCTATGCATGTTGTGTCTCTCCTGTGCACTGTGTCTCTGGGGCTTGGCACACAGTGTGGGTCTTATGGGCACATGCTGCCAGCATGTACTATGTCGAGCCCACGCTCTCATTCATGTGCACAGCGGTTGCATATATGGTATGTGTAGCAGGAGCCAGCTTCGACGTGAGTGCCTGCCATGGCTCAGAATGCTTTGCAACCACACTAAGCAGAGGGCCAGGTCCCAAGCTCTGCCCTTTGGCCCAAAGCTCCCAGTGCTCAGACAGACCCTAGACTTTCTGTGCCTTTCTCCATGGCAAATGGGTTATGAATTCATTTGAAAGAAAACAAAACTGTCCTAGGCAGGGGGAGGCCATGTGGTAGCTTGGTTTACCCAGTGGTGCAAAATGCATGCTGTCCTGTAGAAATACAAGTGGCCTTGGCTTGCTTGCCCCATGGGCTTATAGCTAGAGCTCAGGACTTTCTCCACTTTCTGCCACTTTCTCCGACATCGCCGTATACTCTCAGAGCCACACTGGGCCCAGGAGGCTTGAACACTGGACCTAGTAGGACATTAAATCTTACAAGGTTGTCAACTCCCTGGACAAGACAACTAATGAGGCGGGGTCCCATGGGGTCCCTCAGGCTCCAAGCTCTGACTCCAACTCCATTTTCTACTTGAAATGATGTTTGTGCTGCTCCAAGGGTAGTCCATCACCTCATCCCACTGAGCTGGACAAGTATGACCTTGGCTGGGCTCAGTGGTGCATGTCTTCAATCCCAGCACTCACCAAGGCAGAGGCAGGCTGATCTCTCTGAGTTTGAGGCCAGCCTGGTCTACAAAGCAAGTCCAGGACAGCCAGAGCTACACAGAGAAACCCTGTCTTAGACAGGGTGGGGTGGGGATGGGGTATGACCTTGGCCCCGGGAGGTTAGGAAGGGCTGTGACAAGAGCCACCTCGGGTTCCTCTAGGAGCCACCTCGGGTTCACCTAGGATGGGGTGAGGAGGTGAGGGCTAGGTGGATTGGAATGAGGAAGCTGGGTGAACTCAGAAGCCGGTGGCCAGTGGGAACACAAGCCACAGCATGGAGCTGGTATTCCATGCAGCTGTGAAATGAACCTGAAGGTGGGGCAGTCTAGGCATGGCAACTTACCGCCTCCTTCACTAGGGCATAGCAGGTTGGACACTCTTGGCAGCCCGTGCCACCATCCACGAGGAAGAAATTGTCCTGGCAGCGGTCACACTTATAGCCCACGAAGCCGGGCCGGCACACACACGTACTGTTCTCATGGCACTGGGAGGAGGCAGAACCCAGTGGGGAACACCGACAGTCTGGAGGACAGCAGCCAGCTCTGGGGACCTGACGGTGATCTCCTACTCGTCTCCCACCCCCCAAATTCTCATAGCCAACCCGGAAATCCCCACAACCCCCGAGCATCCTCAAATGCAGACTCCAGGGCTCCACGCCAGAGACTGACCAAAACGTTAGAGTCGGCAACTGAACCTTGAGCCTCACTTAATTGCACTGTTCCCAGGGACCCAGAACTGCCAAAGCGCTAGCTGTTCAACTGAAGGAACCTTGGCTCACATGTGACATGATGTCTGGGGACACACAGGGTTCAGAGGTCACGTTAGAGGTGCCACCGGGACACCGCTCACACTCCTGCACTGTGGGTTCTCAAGGCCCAGCATCTGCCATCATCTTTCCTACTGTACCTGCTTCTGTGGGTCACCTCCAGCAAGAGACCTCAGCCCCGCCCTCCCACAGCCCACTAGAACCCAGTTGCTCACCCCGGCAGCCCTTGATGGAGAAGCCAAAGAAACCCAGCTGGCATCTGTCACAGGCTTGGCCTGTGACGCCAGGTCGGCAGGGGCACTGGCCGGTCTGGGGGTGGCACTTGTTCTCCAAGGAGCCAAGTGGATGACATTTACAGCTGCAACAAGAAGCAAGCATGAGGCTGGATCCTGCCATCCCTTAACCCAGCCTCTCATAGGACAGAAGAAAAAAACAATAAAGCCATGGGCACAGATCTACAGATCTGGCAAGTCACTGTGGGAATCCCATACTAAGGGCTCCCAGGCTCTGCATAAGGACGGTCAGTCACTTCCTTTAGCCTTCCCTGCTGGAGTCATCCTCTTCGGCCGAGACATGCGTCTCAGGCACTGTGTGGTCCAGTGATAGGTGTCACTGAGAGGAGAACCAGACCAAACAAGCTGCCTGCCTGCCTGGCCAGCCCTTGGCCCATTCTTGGCCAGTCTCCTGGGCTGGCAGAGCCATGAGTCTGATACCAAGAGACTGAGCTTTTGTACCCTTTGGTAAAGGGCACCGTGGTCCTGGGAATGGATCTGAGATGGTGCATTCTAGGCAAAGGCCATCCCCAGAGCTCCAGGGTGCCTTCCCCCCCACCTGGCAAGACACTGAGGGCACTTCCAGCCTCACCCCCTACCTCTGGCAGCCCCTCCCAGACTGGAGGTCATAGAAGCCGGGGCTGCAGCGGCTGCAGTCCCTCCCGGTGACATGAGGCAGGCAGGCACACTGGCCGGTCACTGGGTTGCAGGATGTCTTCCCACGGACTGAACCCCTCAGGTCACAGCTGCAGGCTGGGAGTTGCAGGAAAGGATATTGAGTGGAAGCTGAGATGCCAATGGAGCCCAGAGATGACCCTCAGTCAGGCCAGGTTCCTGAAACCCTCCCGGAAAAGGCTTGAGGGGCAAGCTCAAGCCTCAGCCCGTTTGCTGTGTCTTTGGTGGGCCGGCCCAGAAGATTGGGGCTGTAAATATTCCTGAGAGCGCCTCAAGCCTGCAGGCTGGAGAGAGGGCGAAAGATGTAGCCGCTGACCACAGCAGGGCCTGGCAGCCGTATCTGGGACCACACACTTTGGCTCTCCCAGGAACCACAATAGAGCATGCTTCTTGATGCCAGCGTGGGGTTTCCTGCAGGGGGCTCCACCCAGGACAGGGAAGAGTACAGGGTGCCATGTGGGGAAGGGCTCTGAGGACATTGGGTCAGGGTGAAAGCTGAGTTGCTGATGCAGGACTTCCAGGAGCCTGATTCAGCAGATGCAGGCTGTGGCCCCCGGACAGGCATAAGGCTGAATGCAACCCAGGCGGGGAGAGGGGGAACAGATGAGGGGGAGTTGTGGCCTCACCTTCCCTGCATGAGCCTCATGTGTTAACAGTGGCTATGAGGAAAGTGCTGATTATCAATGTGGGATCAGAGCTTATGAGCTGTCAGGACTGAGGAACAAATCCCAGTGCCTTCTAGAGGACAGAGAAGGCGAGAGACCTGCTTAGGGCTGCCCAGCCGAGCGGAGGGGACAGCTGGTATGGTAGCCTCCATGAGGGGTGAGGACAGTGGCTCCCATGCCTTACCCTTGTGGGTATGGGATTTGGATACCCACGAGCACATTTGTCCGAGGGCCTTGTGGCCAAGGCGCTCCCGTAGAAACCCTCCTGGCAGTGCTCGCAGTGGGCCCCGGTTGTGTTGTACAGACAGCGCAAGCAGTGGCCAGAATGAGGATCACAGTTGCCCACAGCATTGAGATCCACGTTCCCGCTGCACTGGCACCGGTGGCAGGGCTGGGGAGTTCCGGAGAGCCCAAGAGGATCCCCAAAAAAGCCATCTTCACAGTTCTCACAGTGTCGTCCTGTGTACGGAAGGAACAGGTTTGGTGCTCTGGCCAGCTGCACTCAGAGTGTGCTATATAGCTATCCCTCTTCTGGGTGAAGCTGAGCGGGCAGCCATGGCTCAAGCTGGCTTGCAGTCAGGTCCTAGAGCACACTGCTGGCAGTATGGCCCCGGGCAAGCCATCACAACTCTCTGATTCCAGGCTCCTTTCTTTTGTGATGAGGACAGCTCTGCTGTTCCCCCAAAGCACTGACTTCTGGGTGCTCAGAAGTAGCAGGTGCGACAGGATTGGCCTTCATCCTTCCCACCTTCACCAGCATCAAGAGCATCTTTCTCACCATCACTTGGACACCAACTCAGATGTCCAGACAAGCTGCATGCTACTCTCCCTCAAGGCCCCAAGTGTGTGGGTAAAGAGGCTGGCAGAAATCCCTGCTCTGTAAGCCACCCCAGGCTCTCCCGGGGTGGTTCCTTCTAGGAGAGGCAACCGCTCCCCTGGTGTCCTCCTTCAGGAATGTCCCACCTACTCTTTCTCACTGGCTGGGGTTCACTTGCCTATGAAAGCACAGGGAGACACGACAATGGGGAAAGGTTAGAAATGAAGGAGAAGAAGATGCCGGCAGGAGCACAGCCCAGCTGAGGGATTCACCTACGCACACCAGGTCCTGTGTTCCCTGAAAGAGTCCACCCAACTGTGGGGCTCTGGAGGGCAGGAGGCTGCTTCCAGAACAGGTCAGAGCAGGACATCCCATAAAGGCACTCAGTGCAGACACTAACCCTACATGCAGCCAGATGCAAAATGACACAGAAGGACAACACATGCTTAAACACAGTGGAGATCCCAAAGAGTCAGCGTCAGAGAGTCAGCATCTCAATGGTGTTGAGAGCGGGGAGCATTAAACAAGGGTTCAGTGGCCACAGGGCTCACCGGCACGGGTGGTGGCAGGGAACAGAATAAGATGCCAGGGCCCCTGAGGCCAATGAATCACATGCTTAAAACGATGGTCAAGGAGGACAGCTTTATGATATAGGTTTCTTATGATGCAAAATTAATGATGTAATAGGCCAAGAGCCATTTAATTGTCCACTTTAAGTGGGTGACTTTGTGGGGCGTGCAGTCATCTCAAATGCTGTTAAATGCACCTCTGAGGATAGCGGGAGTCCGGCAGCAGGGAGAGGCTGCAGCGGAATCTGGGAGTGGGGAGGCTGTTTTCCTTGTGCTACCTGAGACTGAGAGCTGGAAAGACCTGTGTGTGTGTACACATATGTGCATGTATGTATGGGCATGAAGCCAGAGGTCGACCTTGGACGTCATCCTCAACCGATCTCCACTTTATGTTTTGAGACATCGTCTCTCACTTAACCTGAACGCCGCTGCTTCTGCTGGCCTGGCTAGGCAGCAAGCTCCCAGGAAGTCCTGTCTCTGCCCTATCCTGAGTGCTGACAGTACAGAAGCGCCACCGTGCCCAGCCTTTTTCTACATAGGCTCTGAGTCTCAGCCTCAGGTCACCCAGCTTATTCGGCATCACTTCACAAGCCAAGCCTTCCTTTGAAACAGTAAAACTTCTGTGTTGGGGTTTTCTACCTTTGCAGTGAGGATCCCAAGGTCCTCTGGCTTCATCCCAAACCACGAGTCCAGCTCTAAAGGCCCACATATGAGCCTTTCAAGGTTATATATGGCCAAGGCCCGGGTCTGCAGCGACTCTCAGCATACTGGGGCCTTGACAAGGACACTTTGTCACCAGAAGTCTGGCTTGGACCAGGCTCTTTCCCACCCGTACCCCAAACCTGGACGCCTCCACTAGAGCCAGGGAAGGATCAGGGCATCAGGCTTGGTCTTTCTAGGGATAGAGCACACCCGCTCACCTCTCTGGCCAGCGGGACAGTGTGTGCACACGACCTCGCCACTGTCTGGGACGGTTGTGCAGGCTGATTGGCCAGGGCATGGACAGGGTTGGCAGTCATCGGCATGGCCTGAGAAGGCGTTTCCATAGAAACCTGGCATGCAGCGCTCACAGGAAGGGCCCTCGGTGTGGTGGCCACACAGGCAGATCCCTAAGGAGCAAGACAGTGCCTGTTCACCACCGCACCCCAGACCGCCCACTCCATCCCCTCCAGGAGCAGCGGTTCTCAGCCTTCCTGATGCTGCAACCCTTGAACATCCGGGTAGACTGGTGAAAACCCTAAGTAGAAGCAGCAGGGGGTGGGGAGAAATTGTCCAGGTGAGCCTTACTGTCAGGGTTCCTGTGTGAGCTGGAAAAACCATCTCCTCGGTGGGTAGGAGGCACAGCTCTGCCCCCTGCTGGCTGTGTGGGCACCCTGCACCTCAAATCCCTGTCTTGGATGATGGTTGTGGCTAAGTCAAGGGCTTGGTGGGGGTGAAAAATCAGTTCTGTCTCATGAGACCATTCTGTTTCCTCACTGAGGGCTGCAGGGATCATTATGTGGGAAAGGATTACATGGCCTTATCTAGGCTCAATCGGTGACATCTGCCAGGCACAGGACAGGTGAATGATCTGTGTATCAGAGACTCCGTCTGTTCTGGGGAGGCAGCAGGGTGAAAGGCCTGTGATACTGAGATGGAGAAGACTGTGTCTGTCCCCTAGCGCCTCCTGGTCATGTGATAACCCTCAGTGAGGTTCATACTCCTGTATAGGTGTGGGAAATAGCTCTACTGGACTACACCCCTGCCCCAAGCTGTTGGGAGTGTGGCCCTGCTACCCACTGGTCATGAGGCCACCCCACACCTCAGGCTCCTGTCCTGGAGAATGGGACAGTAATGGAGAATATGCCACTCGGATGTCTGCAGGGGTCAAGGATAGAGTGCCAACACCACGGAGGAAGGGGACAGCACTATTTCATTCCTTCCTAAATCTGCCTCTCCCAGGAAGAGACCCCACAGCTTACCTGAGCTATCCCTGAGCTTTAGTGCAAAGCAAAGCTCTTAAAAAAAAAAAAAAACTCTGGACAACACCAGACCTTCATGTGACCTTGTCCCCACAGCCTGCATTTATACAGTACTGCCTGTACTGTATAAATGGAGGATCAGGGAGGGAAGTGGCTTTCCCAAGGCCACAGCCATGAAGCAACGAGGCTAGCTGGCTTGTGGCTGTGGGTTGACACCCATGAGCTACTGGCTATATGACTTTCTGAATGTCTTCCTTCTGTCACTGTCTGTGCTGATAATCTCTCTACCTTTTCTCACAGCACCTGCTAGGTAGCAAGGCCCTGATGAGCCCCTCCCAGGCCAGTGGGGTGGCAGTGGGCAGGTGCCCACAGAGAGACTGGCTGAGGCCTTGGCAGATACACATGGTCCCTGATACCTAGGCACCAGTCAGGCCTTTTGTTACAATAAAAGAAGCCCAGGGGACAGGGCAAGGACAGGCCAGTACCTGTGTCTCCCAAGGGCCATCTGTGAGGGCCAGTTCTCATCTCACTGTGCCCACATGGCCCAGACAGCCTTGCAATGGGCTCTGGGGACTTACCTGTGTTGGGATCACAGGTGCCATGATGGTTGCAGGTGCAGGGGATGCAACTGGTGTAGAGACTCCCAAGAGGTGTCTCTCTTTTGTATCCGGGAGCACAAAATTCGCAGAACTGGCCTGTGTATCCCTGGGGACACAGGCAGGCCTCCACCCAAGGGGCCGGCGGGGCAAGTCCTCTCTGGGGCCGGGCCGACGTGAGCCAGACCTCAAACAAGAACACCGGGCCTGAGAAATGAGAAGAGAAGGGGAGACCTACATACCCGGCCATCCAACACCTCCTGAGCAGCCTGTGAGCCAACTAGTGCTCTTGCTTGTTTTTGAGACAGGGTCTTGCCGTGTGACCTGTGTGGTCTTCAAACTTGCAATCCTCTGGCCTTATCGTCCTAAATGCTGGGATTACAGGCATTAATCTATGCCAGGCTTCAAGTATAATTTTAAAAACAATAGTCAAAAACTCAAGGGCAATTATGGGGCACAGTGGTGCACGCTTGTAACCCCAGCACTCAGGGAGATCTCTGTGAGTTTAAGACCAGCCTGGCCTCTAAAGTGAGCCTAAGACAGCCAAGGCTACACAGAGAAAACGTGTCTCAAAAGAAAAAAAAAAAAAAAGGACAAAGGAAACACTTGATTTTTATTTTTACTTTTTATAAGTCTTACTAATTATTTATGCAGCGTTCTGCCTGCATGCCAGAAGAGGGCACCAGATCTCACTATGGATGGTTGTGAGCCACCATGTGGTTGCTGGGAATTGAACTCAGGACCTTTAGGAAGAACAGCCAGTGTTCTTAACCTCTGAGCCATCTCTCTGGCCCCAAAGACTTGGTTTTTAAATCAAGAAATAGATAAGGAGCTGTGTGGAGCTCAGAATGTGCACTTAGCATGTGCAAAGCCTTGGTTTTAATCCCTGAGGCAGGAGCAGACAGAGAGGCTGCAAGGTGTCCGTGCTTGGAGCCAGGGAGATGGCCCAGCAGGTTAGGAGCCCAAGCTGCCAAGCAGGCTGATGTGAGTTCAAATTTCTCTGTCCCATGAGTTGTCGTGTGCCCTCCACATGCGTGGTACACGCAGTGATGTGTGCCCAGAAATATATGTACGTGCAACTAAACAAATATCATACAACTTGTTAAGATTTGCTGGGCATGAGAGCACGTGAGTTTAACACTTTTTAAGTCAGCCTGGTGTACATGAACTTCCAGACCAGGCAGGGTTAGATAGTGAGGCACCTGCAATTCCAGCCCTTAGGAATCAGAGGTAGGAAGATCAGGAGTTCAAGACCAGCAAGAATTCCCAGAAGCCACATGGCAGCTCACAACTGTCTGTAACTCCTGTTTCAGAGGATCTGACACTCTCACATAGACATACGTGCAGTCAAACACCGATGCACATAAAATAAAAACAAAGAAATCTTCAAAGCAATTGGGTGAATTTAGAACCTGTGATGTGGCCGAGGTGCAATGCTACTATTGCCCAGCAGAGAGAGCAGTGCCAACAGAAAGCTGCAGTGGAGGGATGGGGCAATGCTGGATTCTGTTAAGGATCAGGTACCCACTCCCTAGAGTTGTCCTCCAGGACGTCCTGTTCCTGCAGCACAGCCCCTGCCTCTATCCTCAGACACAGAGCTGCTGCCTTGTGCAAGTGTCCTGATTTCTCAGTCTCGGAGACCATGTTGTGAGGACGCCACAGACAATGCAGCACCAGGACTCATGTTCTTAGAGGGTATATTCTCATACTGACCAGCGGGACCCGGGCCTTGGCTGCTGGTCCGGATGTGCAGAGCAGTTAGACTGGCAAGCAGGCGCTGGAAGTGGAAGGTGGGCAGCGGGGGCTCTGCCTCCTCAGAGGTCTCCTGCAGGCTGTGATGGACAGGAAGTCAGTGGGACAGGTGGTGCCAAGAGCCTGGGTTCCTGGGGAGCCTCGCCGGTGGGCCCAGCCCTCAGAGACCACTCTGCCTACCCATCCAACTCCCATCTCTCAGGACAGGGAGGCCACTTACAGGAACCAGAGCTGAACTTGTCCCGGTTGCCTGGTGTCCTGAGGGCCGGGTGGGCTGGAGGGCCTCAGAGCCACAGTCAAACCTGCCCCCTCCAGCCTCAGCTGCACAGGAGGTGGGGCGGCCCCAGGGGGCACTTGGAGGGTCAGTACGACTGGCTGTCCATAGCTGAGCCTCTGGTCTCCCAGGAACTTCTCTGAAGGGAAGAGGGACAGGCTTTGGAATCTTCGTATGCTTAACTTGATTCTACTGTTAAACATCCAAACAACGTGCACACGCAGCGGGTAGAAAATCCCAGGCTGGAGCTGAGGAGATGGAAGGTGGTTAAAGCGCTTGATGCAGGAGTGGAGACCCGGAGCCTGGATTCCCAGAGCCCACGTAAACGCTGCACGAGCATGGCGGCCCGCTGTAATCCCAGCCTTAGGAAGTGGGGCTGGGAGAACGCTAGACAGAGCAAGCCGGCTGGTGTGGCCGCATCAGCAAGCTCTGGGTTTGACTGAGACACCCTGCCTCAGCAAACAAGGTGAAAGAGGGATGGAGGATGGTTCCTGACATCGACTTCTGGCCTCCACATGGGTTTGCATCCATACATGCACTATGCCCACTCACATGCGAACACGAATCACACACACACACAGTTGTGGTATTTTGATGACTTCGCTTATGCTGTGGGCTGACTGAAGAATTGTAGCACTCAAAGGTGTCCCCAGGCACCTTTGAGTGCTGGGGTCTCTACAGAGGCAATTTGACCAGACAAAAAGGATTAGGACTGCAGGTGGGGGTGAGAGCATTGGTCCCTGTCTGTGGACTAGGGGAGGTCTATTGGATTATCCAATAGGACCCAAGGGAGTCTCCAGGGAGAAAGAGGGGGATGTCAGCTGTGGTTGTAAGAAAGACATTCGCTCTGAAGGTGGGGGAGGGTGAGAGTCCTGGAAGGGAGACACGGTCTTTGCTCCTGAGCCTCGAGAAGGAACACAGCCCCGTGACGCCCATTCCATGCTTGAGGTTTCTGAAAGATCGAGAGAACAAATGTGTGTGTTCTCAGCCACTGAAATCAAGGCCTCTGGCGGCACCTGTTTCCCTGGCACCCCTAAACTTGTGTTGAAACAGAACCCCTCTAGTACGGTGTTAAGAGGTGTAGTGTTAGGATGGGGGTCTCTGGGAGGCAGCTAGGATGAAGTGAAATGGCTAGGGTGGGGTCCCCGTGGTTGAATCCTTTGAATCTGGGTGGGGGCTATGCCTTGCACACCTCAGGACTGCTTCAGTCCTGACTCCTACCAGATGTGCACCTTGACCTTGAACAGGCACGTGAGCCAAAATGAACCTGTCTTTAGAACTTACAGGTGACGAGTGGGACTGTCACCTACCTGGTGCCAAGAGTTCCTCTTCTCCTTCCGGGCCCAGAAGGATCCCACTCTGGTTCCACTGTGGAGGACGCTCTGACACCTCCATGCTTCTGACCCGCCAGCCATCAGCTCCTAAACATCAAACACAGAGTATTCACCCCAACAGTGAGAGGCCCAAACGCTGGCCTCCAGTGACAAGTCCAGCAGGGCTCTGAGATAGGAGGCCAGGCTGGGTTCCATGAGACCCTGTTTCCTGAGGTGTGATCACGGCTCCATGTCCCAGAAGAGCTCTGTGCATGATTGGCAAAAACTCTACCCATTGAGCCCTCCCTTTATTCTCTTTGGATTCAGAAGACAGGCCCAGGCTAGATTCTTGTCAGCCACTGCCAGGCACTGTCCTGCTTTCTGTGTGATGTCCAGCAGAGGGCGCACGGCCTCTGTATCTGGACTTCTGGAATCCATGCCCAAGGACCAGTCCTCAGACTCTCAAATCCGAGGGGAGGAGGAACGTTCCAAGGAGTATGGCTGGGCACAGTGGCTCTGAGGGGTTGCAGAGCTTGGAGTTAGGCCCTTTCTGTTCGGAAGACACAGTCACGGCAGCCGCAGCCAATCTCAGACAGACTCGGGATCGGGTCCGTAAATGGGAATGAGGACACCTGCCTACAAGGATGCTGAGCTAGCCTGGAATGTGGAGCTCAGCAGTGCCTGGCATACAGCAGGTGCTTAGTATGTGAGGGCCAAGAGTCTGAGTTGGGACTCAGATATGCTAAGGAGGCTAGCTCTCCTGGGGATTAATGGAGGCTGTCCTACAGGACTCAGGGGGCCTGCAGCAACCAGCTTTCCAGTGCCACCCTGAGGATGAAGTTCTGAAGGCTGGATGGGTGGCCCCTGAGTCAGGAGCCCAGGGGGAGCAGGCAGGTGCCAGCGGACTCCCCTTCACGCTCTACCCGCCAAGGCTGTGTGCCGTAGAGCATCTTTCTAAAGAAGGCATGGTGGAAGGGCTGTCGCTGTCCCCATTACAGCTTCCAAAGAGAGACTCCCAGCCAGGGCAAAGAGCCACCCCTTGGAGGGCACCCCCTGAGCACTGCTCACCACGGCGGAAGTCTGAGAGGATGTGGTGTGCCTGGAACCCGGCAGCAGGAGCGCACACCTTGGAGTGGCCGTAACAGAAGCAGCTGCTGCAGCCGGCCGGGTTGTGGGGCTGCAGGTTAAAGGTCCCAGGGCGGCATCTGTAAGAGTCAGGATGGATCATGTGTCTGAGCCGGGACCGGACAGGACCAGGATCCAGCTAGATGATTCGGAATCCTGGGGACACTTAAGAAGACATTCTTATTTTTATTTTTCAGAATCACAAGTTGCCCAGACAGGACAGACAATCCCATGCCTACCTGTTTGGTGTCTCTGCTGCTTGATACACGGCCTTGAAGCCAAGGGATCAGCACCGCCTAAGCTTAACAACAGGCTGCGTCAGGGTTTCTTTTCTCATTAGCCTGTCTCCCTGCTCCAGGACCTGACATTGCATTTAGCTATGTCCTGTGTCCTCTGATTTGTAAACATCTCCTCTCTTGTAATCTTGACACTTTTGTCTCTGTGGTGTCTGTTTGTTTGTTTGAGACAGAGTCTCGAAATGTAGCCCTTCCTGGATAAGACTGGCCTAGAACTCACAGAGATCTTCCTGCCTCTCCCTGAGTGCTGACACTAAAGGTGTACATCGCTGCAACAGGCTTTAGGTTTTGTTGTTTGTTTTGATTTTTGGAGACATAGTTTCTCTGTTTAGCCTTGGCTGGCCTTGACTTTGTAGACCAGGTTGGTTTCGAATTCAAAGTGATCTGCCTGCCTCTGCCTCCCTTAACACTGGGATTAAAGGTGAGCACCGCCAGACCCGGCTTGTTTTGCTTTTTTAGAGAAAGTTTTAATTAAAAAAAAATTTTATATGTATGAGTGTTTTGCTTGCATGCATGTTTGTATAACATATGTATGTCTGGTGCCTGCAGAGTCCAGAGAGGGTGTTGAATTCCCTGGAACTGGGGTTTCAGATGTTTGTGGGTGCTGGAAATTGAACCCAGGTCCTCTGGAAAAGAAGCAGAGGACTTCTTTTAACTGCTGAGCTATCCTTCCAGGCCCCTTGCTTTTCGTTTTTGTGACAAGGTCTTATTTTATACTCTGCCGTGGCCTTGGACTCTTGATAACCTTCCTGTCTCAGCCTCCCAGGTGACTTTAGCTGAATCACCATCTCCTGGCTCCCGTGTTGCCCACGGTAACAGTTGCGGCACTGTAGTCATTAGGAGTGGCACTGAGAGACCAAAAGATTAAAAATTAGCAGCTATTATTAAGGCCTGAACTAGGTGGGTGGAGAAGTCCAGGAATGCCCTGAGGGGAAGAACCACCTTACTGCATTCTTTCCCCACCCACTAGAGATAACAGTTGTTAGGAAACTGGCCCATCCCCCTAGGGAGGGACACCAGGTCATTAATGGTATGGGGACCTTCCTATAGTCAATTCAAAATGTAGCATTTTGACCAATAGATGCTTGCCAGGCAGGAATTGCCCCTGCCTTGGGCATGCTGGGATGGACCAGAATCTATATATCACCCAACTAACCTGAGCACAGGGCGCTCGGCTCCCACTGCCGAAGCGGTGGGGGTGTGAGCCCAAGCTGCAGCTTGTAATTTACAATAAAAAGATCCTCATGTATTTACAGCAGAGTCTGTTTAATCCTGGTCTTTTGGGGTTCATGAACTGGGCAGAACAGCACACTAGCCAGGCATGTGGTGCCCACCAGTAACCCCAGTAATCCAGAGGTGAAGGCAGGAGGACCAGGGGGTTCAAGGTCATTTTCAGCCACCCAGCAAGTTCAAGGTTAGTTTGGCCTACCTGAGGGCCAGGAGTGGAAGGTAGCACAGCAATGAATCCCAGCTCTCAGGAGGCAGAGGCAGGCAGATCTTAAAGTGTCGGGGCGACCTAGGCTACACAGAGAGAAAATGTCTCAAAAACAAAACATAAAACCCCACAAAACAACAAAAACCCCTAAGCCTTCCAAGAAGGAAAAGTATCAAAGAACTTGCTTGCAGCATGCTTGAAAGGCACCACTGTAATTAGTAACTGTTTCCAGGGCTGTGTCTTGAGGCTATGCAAATGCCTGTTTCCCATGAACACCAGCATTCATTCCAGCTGTTGGAATGCCTATCAGGGAAATCATTGCTATGCTGCGACTTCTAACCTGATTTCCCGCTGCACCCTTCTTTATCATTTAGAGTTCTGAAGGGAGATTTGCCCCACTGTCCTTATCTATTTGTCCGGTCATCTACTTGCATTATGGATAACTGCCCTGTTCTTAGGGTTATAATGCAATCTCGTCTTTATTAATTTTGTTATTCAAATTGTTCCAGCTTTGGGATTTCCAGCAGATTAGCTCCTGTATCCCTTTCACACAGGGCAGGGATGACTGCTGGCTCAGTTGGTAGGGGCTTCTTGGAGCAAGGCATTGAGAAGGCTCTGAGGTTAAGATTGTTGTGTTCCATTAGTGATGTCTGCCATGTGCAAAAGAGCTGAAATATGGAATCAGGTATTCCTGATTCCTGAATTAGACAAGCTCTTCCTATCTTTCTAGAGCTTTCTTTTCAGGATTCTGATCTTGAAGCAATGTTGCATTTCCTCAGCTAAGAAACCCTTAGTGGTGTTGGGTCAGGGTATAAGCAGTGCCCACGGGACCTTTGGGGAGCACCCTGGGCAGCAGGATCCTGGAGTTTCAGAAAGAATGTGGGGTGACAGTCTTGCCCAAGTCTCAGAGGACCATGCCCTGCCTCTCCTGCTGGAGGCTGGTCTAATGGTAATTACTGGTTATCGCCCATTGGATACACCCATCCTTGTTTGTGTAAACCTACCTAAAACATTATACCTGATTGGTTCATTAAATGGTCTATACTTGGGCAGGGCAGAATCAGGTAGGCGTGGCTAGCTTCCAGGGCTTTTGAGGATGGAAGATTCATGAGAATCATGGGACAGACGGACAGGAAGAGGAAGAAGGAGCACAAAGATGAGTTAGCCTGTAGAAGAAACCTCTTGGGGCTGGGAGGAAAAACTCCAATAATGGCGTGAAAAGAGCCCAGGTGAAGAATATAAGCAAGTACCATGGGATTATGGATGAAAAGGGAGAAAGGCTGAGGAGGATTGAGGTGGATGGCAGTGGATGGGGGCTGGGAGATGGATGGTGAGGTGATTTAGACAGTGTAGGGAGGAATATCTACCCTGCTCAAGGTAAATAAGGCAAGTATAAAATCTAACAGGTGTCTGTGGCTTATTCTTTGTGATAGAGGGTTAGATAATACTGCCATCATAATCTTATGGCTAATAAGAACAATAAATAGCCCAACAGCCATTTTTAAAATCACAACAACACTCTCTCCTTACCACACAGCTCTGGTGCCTCACCACAGATAGCCAAGATCATTTCTGGTAGCTCTGTGTAGGTCAGCACACCCACCTGTCACACAGGCTGCCTTCCACGTTCTCTTTGCAGGAACAGTGCCCACTGCGGGGGTCACAGGGGCCCAAGCTGCCAGCAACATTGCAGGTACAGGGTCTGCCAAAGAAACAGAAAACACATGTCCACCGAGCAACTCCATAGTGGGGATACTACCCTTTCCTCAGGAGAAACCTCCACACCCTTCCCTGCTCCTGAAAAGAGCAGGATAGGATTGGCCAGGAGACCATGCCTGGCTCCGCTGGTCCCACTGTAGCAGGAAGTGCCCATGCAGTGACCACCCTGCCCACTGCCCACCCCTCCTGCTGGTGCATCCTTCCACCCACCACTCTTGCTATCACTTTCCATCTCCCACTGTCCACCTATGTACCCACCCCGCCATTGATGCATCTGTCCATCCATCACCCTGCTCTTGCTTAGCAGCCATCCACCTGTCCCTCCATCAGTGCGTCTGTCCATCCATCCACCTGTTTCTTCATCCTTCTCTTCTGTCCCTTAGCTTCCTATCCACCCATTCTCTCATGCATCTACCCATCCACTCAACCATCCGTTCATCCATCTGCTCCCCTCTAGTCATCCACCCATCCACTTATCTTTCCATCAGCCCATCCATTTAACTCACTCCTCCATCTGTCACCCACACCTCATCTGGTAAGATGTGGTTCCTGTCCTCACGGATCCCCGAATCCAGGGAGGACAGACTGATAGGCAGACAGAAAGGCAGCCCCTGCCCTGCTGTGAAGGGGATAGATGGACAGTGGTGAGGCAGCAGAGTTGTAGCTGGCCCAGCCTTGGAGAGTGAGAGGGAACGGAAGAACAGGGCACTTCTCTGGGGGACAGTGCCTCAGCTGAGGACCACAGAATGGGTAACCGTGTGCGACATAGGTGAGGAGGCAGTGCTGGAAGAAGGGACGTGCTCTAGGGGAGAGGAATGATGTGTGCGAAGGTCCCAAGACCAGGTAGGACATGGGAAGCATCCAGAGGCAGATCTGGGGGGAGGGTGTCTGTTTTTTTAATCCAGGGCCTTCTGCATGCTTGGCAGGCACTTACTCTACCACCGAGCCCTGCCGTGGCCTTAGTGGGTTTTCTGTGCCACTGTCTACTCAGCAAGCTCTCCTGCCTTCCAAATGTGTGGGTGGGGACACTGTTGTCAGCAAAGCCAAGTTCACTTGTTTTATTTTTTTCTTTTCTGTGTATGTACATATGATTACAGGAGTGTGTGTGTGTGTGTGTGTGTGTGTGTGTGTAGGTCATAGGTTAAAGTTAGGTTTCTTGTATTCCACTTTATTTATTTAGGTATTTTGAGACAGAATTTCTCTGTGTAGTCCTGGCTGTTCTAGAACTTGTTCTGAAGACCAGGCTGGCCTTGAGCTCAGAGATCAGCCTGCCTCTGCCTCCTGAGTGCTGGGATTAAAGGCGCACGCCACCACTTCCCAGCTTCCTGTGTTCCAACTTATTTTTTAAATTACTTATTTTAATTTTTTTTAATACTTATCAGTGTTTTGCTTGTATATTTATCTGTGTGAGGGTGTCAAATCTCTTGGAACTGGAGTTACAGACAGTTGTGAGCTGCCATGCGGGTGCTGGGAATTGAACCTGCGTCTTCTGGAAGAGCAGCCAGTCCTCTTAACCGCTGAGCCATCTCTCCAGCCCCAGACAGGGTTTCTCACTGAACATGGAGGCCACCAATTCGGCAAGACTGGTTGGCCAGCAAGCTCCTGTGACCAGCTTGTCTTTGCCGGCTTTCCCAGCCCTCAGTGCTGGAGTTCCAGACGCTCACCACTACACGCAGCATTCGTGTCTTTCTGCGGTCCCCTGGGATCCGAGCTCACATCCTCACACTTGCAGAACAAACACTTTGCCAACTGAGCTATCTCCTCTTCTGTGACAAGCCACTTAAAAGCGCTTCTAAGGGACAGTAAGGGATTTGTCTAGCATTCATGAAGCAATGACTTCAATCTCCAGCACCTCACAAAACTGGCCGGGGTGGTGTACATTTTAACTCCAGCAGGAGGTCATTCTTGGCTATGCAGTGATTTCGAGGCCGGCCTAGGCTCTCTCTTAAGACTATACCCACAGAGCGCTTCTGATAATTTGTCTGCAGCCCCGGTTTCTGTGGATTCCACCATGGACCGCTGGTAAATCCGTCTGGCCCCTCTTCTAGGATCCGGCCTGTGGCAGATTGCTGGTCTGTCTCCTCATAAGCAGGTAGCATGTACTCCAAACACGAATATAATGCCTGGCTCCCTGCCCGGCTTCCACCTGGCCCTCTGCCATGAGGACCAGCCCCCTTCCCTTCCTCCTCCTCAGTCTTCTGTCACCACAAATGTGGGCTCCGGAATCTGCCTGTCTCCTTCCTCCCCCACCAGGGCCAGCCCTGCTCCTGCCAAAGCCTCTTCCAGGCTCTGACACAGCCACCTGCCTGGGCCTCCCTGCTCACAGTGTCCCTCGCCTCCCTCAAAGCTCCCTCTGCACCAGGTCCTTCTTCCAGACCTGAGTCTCACCTGGCCCTTGCCTCAGCCTTGGCTGTACCCCCAGTTTGGAGTGTCTCTGTGTCTCACTCATCAGGTCTCAGGTTCAAGCCGGGGCTCTGTCCCTCTCACGTCAAATGGGCCTCTTAGGTCTCTCCCCACCCCCACCCCCACGGGCTGGTTAGTCCTTCCTGTGTCTCCAGCTCTGTTTCTCATAACACTGGGGCCCAGTAGCTCCAGGGCGAGGAAATGTTAGGTGAGGATGCAAAGGAGGGGTCAGCTAGGATTCTGTTCCTTCTGCGCCTTATTTGTCCCAAACACACAGCCCAGTTAACACAGACCCCCTGTCCCCGCACGCTCACCTGCAGCCACCCTCGCTGAGTGAGTGGAACCCAGGCAGGCAGCGGTCACACTTCCAACCCGTCACTGTGGGCTTGCAGGTACAGGTGCCCGAGTGGTCACACTGCAGACTGACGGAGCCTGGGGAGGAGGGACAGGGCGGTGGAGGTGGGAGGAGCGGAGGGTAGGAGATGAGGAAGGGCAGAGCTGGGACCACTCACCTGCTGGGTGGCAGTCACAGGGTTGGCACGGCGTCCTCGAGCTCCATCTGTAATAGTTCCCCTCGCAGCGCTCACAGTGCGGCCCGGCGGTGTGCTCACGGCAGTGACGGCAGTGCCCGCCGTGGCCCGTGCTCCGGAAGAGCTCCCTGTCAAACGTGCACTCCTCAGAGTGGCCGCTGCAGTTGCAGGCTGTGAGAAGCAGAGGGTTGTGTGTGTGAGTGGCTGGGGGCTGTGTTCTCCGGAGCAGGCCGCTCAGACATGGCTGTGCTTGGTCTGTCCACCTGACAGGATCCAGAGTCACCGAGGACACAAACCTCTCAGTGGTTTCTCTGCCGGGCTGAGGTGGCAAGACCCACCTTAAAGGTGGATTCAACCCCACTGTCCCCTGGGCTGGGGTTCACAGAAGGAGCTTGAAAGCAAGCTTGTCACTTCATTCATCTGTCTGCTTCTTGGCTGCAGGTACACGTGGCCAGCTGCCTCACGCTGCTGCTGCCATCACGGCCTCACCATGAGGGGACTTATCTTTGACTAGAACAAACCTTTCCTTTCTTATACTACTTTTGCCGGGCATTTTGTCATATCAATGAGAGACGTGACTAAAACCCAGGGCCAGACTCCAGGACGTCATTCAGCCTCAGCTTGTCGGAGTGCACTGAGCCCAGCCACGCTGATAATCTCAAACAGGATGCTCTTTAAGTACTGGGTGGGTGCAGCTGAGGAGATGGCTCAGCAGCTAAGAGCACCTGGCTGCTCTTCCAGAGGTCCCAGGTTCAATTCCCAGCACCCACGCGGCAGCCCACAACTGTCTGTGACTCAAGGTCAGTGAAACACCAATGCACATGAAATAAAAATAAACAAAGCCAAGAAATAGGTGGGTTCCAAAACAATGTCCTCCTGGAGGGAGTCAGAGGGTGGCTGCAGTGTGTGTGTAGGGGGGGAGGGTCCTGTTAGAAGACAGGAAGATGATGGAGCAGGAAGCCTATCCTAGTCGAGAGGAGACAGTCTGGACCAGGGAAGCGCTTCTCTTTGGTGTGTGTATGCCTAGAGGCTGGCTGCAGGAAACATGCTGTGTGATGGGCAGGGCGGAGTTACTGTCAGATAAGTGGTGTGTGATGGCAATGGGGAACAGAGGGGCCTGGAGGCTGGGAGCCTGGAGCTGCAGGGAGGAGGCACAGGGGTGTGATTAGGGGAGGGACGTAACTGAGTTTGCACTCTTCAGACCCTTAACAGGTGAAGGAGGATGCAGGCACCTAGAGGAGAGGGCTGCAGAGATGTGAAAGGGGAAGAATTTGGGGCTCAGGGGCTGTCTGGGCTGGGAGTCAGGGGTAAAAGGTCAGATGTAAAACTGCATCTTCCAGGCTGGTGACTGGAAGGACGGAAATTTGACCATGCGGGTAAGGGCACAGCACGGAGGCCAGTCTGGCCCTCGGCACTCCTGCCGTGTACAGACAGGCACAGATTTGGCCCAAGCAGGGAACCAGCATGCCTTCCCTGGGGGAGGCAGGCCAGCAAGCCAAGAGGAACTCAATAGGACTGTGTTGGCCCCTGGGGCAGCTCCTGCAGACAGGAGAAAGCTGTCTGTCCCAAGGAAAAGCTGTCTCCTTCCCACCCCAGCTCTGGCAGACCATGCCCCGAGCCCAGAAGCTGTGAGGCTGCGTGGACTCCTGAGGCTGGTCCCAGCACTGCACGGTGAAGCCCGAGGGGAGCAGAGGACTGTGGAGCCAGAGGGACCAGACCAGGGAAGGTGGGATGCCGGAGTGGCTGGAGCACACACTGGGAAGGCCGCCCTCTCCCTGTCCCTGTAGAAGGTTCTAGGGCCCCTTCCTGCCCTCACCAGTGTGTCTCTGAGGTTAGGCAGGCAGGGCCACACCACACACAGCTGGAACATCAAAGGACTGCTGGTGACTGTGGGGGACCGTGGGAAAGACGGGTGGGCGGGTCAGAACCCTGTGGGTGGGGGAGGGGGTGGGGGGACTGGATTTCATTAGCTACCAGGGTTAGAACAGAGAGGCACCATAGGCGCCTCTCTGGGTGGACTTGTGTGGGAGGACTGAGGTTCAAGCACTCCCCAAAACATCCCTTGGTCTCTCCTTCCCAGACGAGGACCCCACACGGCATGCCAGGCCCACCCAGGAGCGGCCACCACCGAGAGGTTTTGGGGATTGGTCCCCAGCCAGCATCATTCGCCTCAGGGCCTGCTGCCCGAGAGACACTCACGCAGACACTCGTTGGCATCCTCTGCGGTGCCCCGGGCCCAGGGACGATCCTGGAAGAAGGGTAGACAACGCTCACAGTCCACACCCGTGGTGTTGTGCTGGCAGTAGCAGGCTAGCTGACCAGCCTCGTTGGGGCCGCACTCACTGGCATGACCGTTGCATTTGCACCTGAAGAAAGCACCAGGAGGGAGGGGCCTGGAGACAATGGCCACAGACACTGAGGAAAGCGAGGGCACCCCTTGGTTGCAGGGCAAGTATGTGCACCCCGAGCCCCGACTACATATGTTGGGGGGCTGTGATAAGGAGAGCCCTGGGGTCCCCAAATGCTATATGGAATGACCCTGCTGTCCCAGTTTGCTTTCTATTGCTGCGATAACCATCATGACCTAAAGCAACTTGGGGAGGAAGGGGTTTATTTCGTATTTACTCATCCCTATTACAGTCCGCTGTGAAGGGAGGTCAGCACAGGAACTCAGGGCAGGAACTGAAGCAGGGGCCTTGAAGGAATGCCACTTAGAGGCTTGCTCTCCATGGGCCTGTTCTCTTATACAGCCCAGGACCACCTGCCCAGAGGTGTCATGGCCCACAGTTGCCTGCATACTCACAGAGCAATCATTAATCAACAAAATGTCTCAGAGATTTGCCTACAGGCCAGCCTGATGGAGATTTTTTTTTTTTTCAGTTGAGGTTTCCTCTTCACAAATGAGCCTAGCCTGTGTCTTCTTGACAGAATGCTAACCAATCAGCACACCTGTTTTCGTCAGCCTCCTGTGACCTGCTTTGAGCAGACTGGGAAACCGAGGCCTGGAAGGCCGTCCGTGGCTGCCAGCTAGTATCTGCCACAGAAGGACTCTGACAGGGCAGGGTCCCAACTCAGGGGAACTTGGTACTCAGGGAGACATGAACTCAGACTCTTGGGTTGGGGAGGGAAGTGGTCACAGAGTCAATCCTTAGCGGGCCGAGGTTACTTCAGATAATTCTGCAATTGTGTCAAAAAGGGCAAGAAAGAAGTGCCCTATGCAGGGCGAAGCTCCCAGGAAGTCCGCAGAGTCTGAGCCTTGGTGGAAAGCCCTGGGCCCATATTCCCATGACACTAACAGGGTCAAGAGGTGTGTGAACTCAGCAAAAGCAAACGAGTGTTCTGGGAGGTAAGCAATGTAGCTGGACAGGGACTGACCCTGTATGGCCACCATGGCCTCGTCCCTGCTTTGCTCTAGGATGGTCCCAGACACAGAAAATAGCTCCAGACCTCAATAGAGTCTTTGGAGGTGTGAGGGACTTTATTCCCAGCGTCACAGATGATGAAGCAGGCTTAGGGCACAGCAGTGTCCTAAGGGCACTTTAAAGGGCAGAGCTCATCCTGGCTCCCCAAAGTCCCACCCTCTGTCCTCAGGGGGCAGAGATGGGTGGATGGCCATTGCCAGGGCCCCCAGTGCCAACTCTAATTTGGGGACCCAGGGACAGGGTAGTATGTGCTCATGGGCTCAGGGGAGGCCACAACACCCCACTGTGGCCGTAGGGACAAGTCCAGCAGCAGACAGTATTGGAAGATTATGATCTTCCTTCATCCTGCACCATCCTGTGAGGACTCTGCAAGCTCCCTGCTCCGCACGGGAAGACGCTGACCCTTCCTGAGACTGGCCTTCATGGCCAGCTGCGGGACCTGTGGTGGTTTGGGTCCCACAGCTGGGACCCAGATGTGCTCTGGCCTGCATCCCCTCAGTTCAGGCACGGCAAATGGAGGTCATGACTAACTTTGGAGTCTTGCTGGGAGGTTTGACCCGACTTACAGTGTGTGTGTGTTGGGGGGGGGGGGTTGTCTGGAGTTCCTCAATCATGTTCCCTGAGGTCTCTTCACACCTAGTCTAACATGGAGCAGGCATCTCAGAGTACGGCTGTTGGGAACAAGCTCTCCCCACCTCCATCTTCAACACTGCCCAAGCACCGATGAACGGTGGGAGCCCAGCACCTGGGCGCCATCCTCACCGCCGCCCACACCCACAGCCTGTGGCTCACTTCTCATCTCCTTACCTGTCAGCCAAGGCTCCCTGCCCTGACAGCATCGGCATGGTCCCAGCTTCCTGTCTCCTTCAAGGTTCCGCCCCTCCCTCTCCTCATCCTTCACCACACTGCCGTACCAAGGTGTGATGACTCATATTGTCCACCTGACTGGATCTAGAATCTCCCGGGAGACAGACCTCTGGGTGTGCCCATGAGGGAGTTTCTAGATGAGGGTTAGCTGAGCCTGAATTGACTGGGGTCCCTGGGTGGATCAAGGGGAGAAAGCAAGCTGGGCACCGGCATTCATCCATCTCTCTCTTCTTCATGTGCTGCCCTCGAACCATCCCGTCATGACGAACTGGACCCTCAAACTGAACTTTGGTGATCTTACCTCACAGGAGCAGGAGGGGGGGGGCAGTGATCAGCTAACAACTGGAGTTTGTGTGTTTTAACAATCGGAGGCTTTCAGAGCCCCCACTCCCACCCCCTAGTGATGGAGGGATGGGATTAACCCTGCCCATGGCCCTGTCTCCGCCTTTACTTCAACCTCACAGCCGTCTCCCCATCAAGCCTAGCTCTTCTACCCGTGCAGGCTGCTGCCTGGCCTGCCCTGAGCCTCCCCGTCATTTGTTTCTTCAGAGCTGACTCAGAGACTACTCATCAGTTCTGAGGTACACCAATGTGCCTACTGAGAGCCACTAGATTCATGTCTGTTACCCCACAGGCCTGGGGCAGGAGCTCACTGTCTCTTCTTTTTCCTGGTGGGGAAGCGTTGGTGGTGGCCTGTGGAGGCAGAAGGGAGCCAGCAGCAGGGCCTCAAATGCAGGTGGGGGCGGGGCTGGGTCCTGTTCACTCCTCCTCTGGGACACCCCAGGTAACTAACCAGCAGCTGCTCTGCTCTCAGACCTGAGGATGAGACCCCCTCCCTCAGTCCCCCCATCCCCCACTCTGGGCCCTACCTGCCACCCACGGAGAAGTCAGATACAGCATAGTAGTAAGACTGGAGGACCCTGGGGTCCTTGAAGATGTCATCCCCAAATGTGTTAAGCCGGTCCAGAGAGATCAGGAGGTCGGTGCTGGTGACCCACTCCTGGAGAAGGGGACAGGGATGCCATCAGCAAATGCTCTTGGCCTGCTCCCCTGGGAAGTCCTGCCCGATGGTTCCCCAAAAGTGGGAGCGGTCCTCTTCTCACAGGGACAGGTCTGGCTGAGACAAATCTTGAGGACAGGCCAAGAACTAAGAGGCCAGGGTCGATCTTGGGGCTGGGGCACTTGTCGGCTGTATGACTCTGGTGACAAAGCCCAATGCTTTGGTGCCTGTTTCCCCATCTGTAAAATGCAGCCAGGTCAGTGGCTCCCCTGAGGGTGTGAGGAGAAGGGTGGCGATGTGGGGCCTGACATCTGCACAGAAGTGGTGTGGTGGTGGTGTGTGTGTGTGTGTGTTTATGGTGTGTGGACAGCAGCTGAGGCAGGCCACCTGAGAGCCTGGTGTTCGGGTGATCTGCATTCCCCCTGCTCCGCTCTGCTTCCTCCTGGTAGCTCCTCACATGCAGACACCCCAGAACATGAGCCCCACAAGCCAGAGCCCCAGGGCTCTGCCTGGCACACAGCAGACACTTGATAAATACTTGCTGATCACGGGCTGGATGAGCAGCTTCCCCGTGGAAGCGCGTGGTGAGGAAGTGGGGACGCACGTGGAGAGTGACATTTCCATCCGCCTGCTGTTATAATCAGAGGCGGCTCCGGCTGAATATTAATCAACGTTTTAATTCAGCCCAGGAGCCCCTGGCTTAGCAATCAGGCCGTCAGGATAGAAAATGAGCTCCTGGCTTAGTTGCTCCTCACCCCAGCAGGACTCAGTCCTGAGAACTCTGTACAACATTGAGGCTGCGGGTCCCTGTCACTCTCCAAGTCACCCGGGGCTGGGATTTGCAAAGGTCACCGTGCTTTCAGGGTTCTGTTGAAGGCAGGTCTGACTGCGAGGTCGGGGGCAGGGCTCGAGTCCACCTTTTCCTCCCCCTCGTCCCTTCTTCTCCTCCTTCCTCCTTTGATTCTTCTGATAGGGTTACATTCATCCCAGACTGGCTTCACATGTGACCCTGAACTCTCAAACCTTCTGTCTCCTCTTCCCAAGTGCTAGGATTACACAAGTATGCACCACCACAGCAGGTGCTGGGGATGGAACCCAGGGCTTTGTTCATGCTAGGCAAGCACCACGCCCACGGAGCTGTGAAGGTTGGGACCCTTGCATCTCTTCTTGTTTGTGGTGCTGGGGTCAAACTTAAGGCCCTCCCTGTGCATCCTAGGCAAGCATGCTGTCTCCCAGCCATCCTGCAGCCTGGGGCTCTATGCTCTCAAATGGGCCTTGGAAGATGCTGAGGCCTCTGAGGACCAGGGAGCCAAGGCCTCGGTGGGGACACAAAATGCTTCACCAGTGGAAGTCCTCGGGGTCTCTGAACACATTGTCCCTCCCCACCCGGGCACAGCTAGGAGAAACCAGGTGGGCTGCAGGTTGCCTGGGGACCCATGATCTTCCTGCTTTAGCATAGTAAGCCTGTTAAACTAAAAAATAAATAACAATAAAAAAAATAGCCAGTTGGCGGCACACACCTTTAATCCCAGCACTTGGGAGGCAAAGGCAGGCAGATCTCCTTGAGTTCCAGGACAGCCAAGGCTACACAGAGGAACCCCATCTCAACCTCCCCACTCCCGAAAATTAAAATGAAATTAAATTAAAAAAAAAAAAAAAGAAAGAAAGAAAGAAAGAAAAAAGGGAAATCAGACATACACCAAAGATGGCAGGATTCTAGGGTTTAAGGAATGACAACCAGGGTCCCAAGGGTCTCTCGGGCCCTAGCTCTCCTGGCTTGCCTGCTGTTCCCTCACCCACCTCCCAGGCCTGCCCCATCACCCTCTCCCCTCCCCCAGGCCCTGCTGTCCCCTGACCTGTAGCACAGGGCTCTCCTCAAAGTTGTAGGCACTGGGACGGCCCTCCAGGGTAGAGAAGGCCACGTTGCCCCCGTTCAGCGGGGAGATGTCGCTGAACTCAGAGGTGCAGAAAGCCACCCTCTCATCCTCACCCGGCCGCAGGTAGTGCCCCTCAGGGCGGCCGTAGGTTTTCTGGCAGGAGGCGCTGTAGTACTGGTAGGGCTCCCAGGGGCCCCCGGGGCGCGTGCGTTTGTAGATGGCAAAGCTCTCGGGGCGGCTGGTATGGAACTTCAGCCTCACGTAGGTGATCTCATAGGCTTTCCCTGCAGCCAGGCAATGCAAACCATCTTAGAGAATGGAGCAGGTACCCAGCCCTGGAATGGGGGAGCAGGATGGCTGCCTGGCGGAAACTCTCTGGCGCTTTGGAGGGCCACCATCCGTTGCTGACGCTTGTCAGGGGAAGAAGGGGAGGGCAACATCGGCAGGCTTCCCAGCTACTTGCCCATCTTTCATCTAGCTCAGCTCATCCTTTGCACGGGAATCTGAGCCATTACAAGCCATTATTCCCTGAATGGCAGTACTTCTTCTTCTGGATAAATAAACATGTCAATAAAATAAAGATGCAACACTAAGTCCTACAGAGGATGCAGGATAAGCGAAGCCCCGACAACTGGGAGCAAGAGTGAGAATGGCAGCTGGGCGTGGTGGTACACGCCTGTGATCCCAGCACTCAGGGAGGCAGAGGCAGGCGGATCTCTGAGTTCGAGGCCAGCCTGGTCTACGGAGCAAGTCCAGGACAGCCAAGGCAACACAGAAAAACCCTGTCTTGGGCGGGGGGGGGGGGGGGGGAAAATGGCATTTTGGGAAGCAAGCTGGTGTCACCTCAGCCTCAGCATGCTGAACAGGGTTGGTGGATGACCCCAGGATTCTACTCACAGGCAGAGGGCCAAGAACAACACAAAAACTCATGACCCACAGAGACTCGGATGTGCATGTCCATAGCAGAACTCAGAATGGCCCAAATGCCTGCTGACCATGTAGAGTAAGCGCTTCTAGGGCAACAAGGAAGGAAGTACTCATGTGTGCCACCCAGCCACGGCCCGTGAGGGGCAATGCTAAAGCTGCTAAGACAGAAGGCCCCGCCAGCTGAGTGCCCAGAAGCAGCCCAGCCACAGACAGGAAGTAGGTCAGTGGTATTTGGGGCCAGGGTGAGACTTTGAGATAAGTGGGAATGACTACTGATGGGCACAGGGATTTGAGGGGCTGATGAAAACATCCTACAGTTGACTGGATGATGGGCACATGAACCAGTGAGCCTAAGAATCATGGGACTGTTTGCTTTTATTTTCAAGTGATGGGAGACAAAGCCAGCACTTCATGTCTGCTAAGCATGCATTGTACGGCTAGGCTGAGTCCTGGACACACACACACACACACACACACACACACACACACACACACACACACGTGCACGTTGCAGACGATAACGAGTGTTGGTGAGGACACAGAGACCACCTTGTGCACTGATGATGGTAAACTTTTAAAAAGTGCCACCACTGTGGATAACAGGGCCAGGTTTTAAAAAAGCAAAGGCCAGCTCCACCCTACACCCCGGCAGAGTGACATAGCCTCAAAGCCCTGAAGGCAGCGTCGAGGAACATACACGCACGTCTGTGTTCACAGCGCCCACTCTTCAGGACAGCCAAGGGCAGAAACAGCTGGTCTGTGTCAAACAGCTGGCCCAGCCATAAAACAGACAGCCATCCAGCCTGCAAAAGTGGGACAACTTTGACCCGTGGGCCGAAAATACGGACAATGGCTGAGAGTGTGGTGCTGGACAGAAGGAGTGCATCAAGACAGATCAGCCCTGCAGACAGGCCTCGCCTCACACACAGGAGGTGACAGGGCAGGGCCAGGGAGGGGCTGAGGGACGCTCAGCAGCTGACAGCACCTGATGTGGGAAGCACGAAGACCAGAGTTCAAGTCTCCAGCACCCGTGTGAAAAGTCAAACACGGTACCTGTGACCCCAGAATGAAGTGGGTGGGAGTCAGAGAGGACAAAGACAGGCAGGTGCCAAGAACTCAATGGCCGGCCAGCCTCGCCCCAAGCAACAAGCTTCCAGGGCAGTGAGATACGCTGTCTTATGGCAACAAAGTAGGAAGTGATAAAGGAAGGCTTGTTGACTTGCTCTGGCTGCCAAGCATGCACACACACACACACACACACACACCACACAGAGACACACAGAAACACACAGATACACACACACACACACAGACACACACAGAAACACACACACACAGACACACAGATACACACACACAGATACACACACACACACACACACACAGGCACACAGATACACGTACACACAGTAGTGCAGGGCTGACAAGATGGCACACTGGAATCTAGGCCACCCACAACTGCCTGTAACCGTAGCTACAAGAGACCTGAGGCCTGGCACCTCCGCTCATGTGTACATGCCCACACCCAGACACACACACTCACACACACAATTGAATAAAATAAATATACTTTTAGAAGACTGTTCCCAGAGCAGTGGGGCCGAAAGGGGCTGGGGGAGGGCCAGCCCGTTCTGTTTCCTGAGTTGAAAACCCTCGGCACAGCTTCAGAGAACGAGGAATGTGTTTGTGACCCCAAACCACACAGGCTTGAAAGCGGCTCCAGTCATACGCTCTGTGTATATCACCACAACAGAAGAATTTAGGGTGAATATACTGTCCCTCTGGGACAGCAGTTTGGTGACAGGGATGAGGAGGAATAGCCCCAGCCTCAGACAAAGAAGCCTTCGTGTGTGTGGTGGTGTGTGGGGGGGGGAGTAGGAATCACAAACTAAAAGCCCAAACCAATCAACGCGTTTTATAGACTTGGGAAACCAGGAGACTGAAGAAACGACTAATGGGATCTACAGGACAACAGTTCCCACAGCGACTAAAGCCAGACTGTCCGCAGAGTCGAGACACCCGGGAAAGTCAGAGTCAAAAGCTGCGAGGAGAAGGGATGCTGTGTGGGTCCCCCCCCCATAACATCTGAGCCACACAAGCAGGAGGGTCCGAGTTCGAATTCTTAGCATAAAGAGCTGGGTGTGGGGGGCGAGTGCCTGCAATCCCCGATGGGTTTGGGGAGGGCACAGAATTATCCCAGGCTCACTGGCCAGCTGATCTGGGCAAATCCATGGGCTCCGAGCCCTGTGAGAGACCTGGTCTTAAGAAACAAAGCAGAGGGCAACCGAGGAGCCATACCCCGAGTTCACCTCTGCACTCATACGTGTGTGCACGTAACACAAAAACCACACATGGAAATAAGATGGAAAAAAAAAATCAGAACAGGTCCCAGTTAGGGGCGGTGGAACGTGCCTGTCATCTGGGCACTCGGGAGGTGGAGGCAGGAGAATTAGTAGTTCAAAGCCGTCCTTGGCTGCTAAGCTGCCTGGGACTGTCTCAGAAAAACCAAACAAAAGGCACAGGCCTCAAAGACAGCCGGCTAATTGGCGAGCATGTTTGTCCTCGGAACTCAGCACAACTGTTCCTCCTTCAGTTTCCCTCTGTTTTTTCCCAATTTTCTTTCCTGAAGCTTGTTCTAATTTAAAACTGGAGAAAACCCAGTTTTACGAAACTTTTAAAAAAGCAACCGCCTTGCCAGGTTCCGTTTTAAGATGTTTTCTGCAGCTCCGTGGCAGCGCCATTGGCACTGGGCTTCTGAAACCTGCGGACGAAGGTGTGTACGGGCCTCGGCCGGGTCAGGGGGAGTGCCAGACCCAGATGGGCTCAGATGTGCACATGCTGGGGCCGACAAAGGTGCTGCAGGCTCAGTAAACAGTACAAAGCCAGGCACCTCCTGGAGGAGACACTTCAAAGGTGGCTGGCAGGGAGGCTGCCCTTGGAAAAAGGGGATCACTGGGATTGCATGCGAGGCAGGGAGCGAGCAAGCAGCTTCTGCTCTGGGGAACATCACGGCTCCTTTGCCAAGCTGGGAGGTGAGAGCTGCTGAGGCCACATCACAGGGGCCCAGTGGGCTGGTTTGTTGGAGAGTTAATTAGAAGAGCAACTTCAGCCTGCTCTGTGAGGACGGGCAGCAGCCGGCATGGCTGGGAAAGAAAATGGCCCCGTATACAGTGACAGGCATTAAACCCCCAGCGGCCAGGCTCCTGTAAGCTCCAGGGGCCAGTGAGGTTCCAGGGTGATGGCTTTGCTCCTAAGCTCTAGGCCACCCAGAATACTGTCCCTCCTACCTCAAATGCTCTTTTCCTCAACCCCATGCGTCTCAGCTCAGCACGGAGCACCTACTGGGGAGGGGCACCAGCTGAGCACATCCTTATACACTGACTGAGACCCCCAGGCCCATCCTGGTATGCGTTCAAGAAGCTCAAAGCTCAGGCAGAAGGGGTCCCAAGTCCACACAGAAACGGTCGGATCTCTCTTGGTCCTCAGGCCCCCCAAAAGGCTATGCAGAACCGGCTACCCTTCTGCTGGGGCTCCCTGGGTGCCTGAGGAGACAGGGCTTCTGGGAAAGAGATACAGACGCTCACGGAGACACAGCTCCCAGGCTTTGGTGGCTGCAGATGCAGTGGCTGGCATGGTAGGAGCCACCTGAGCCGAGCCTCGGGATGCTGAAGCACGGCTACCCCACCAGATGGGCCGTAAAGCCTGTCAAGACAGAGGATTGTCATAAGCCAAGCTGGCCTATGTCTGGGGCTGACCTGGAGGGTAGGCCGGGCTTATTTTGGGAAGATGGAAACAAAACAAACTTTAATTACAGCCATCTGGGGACATGGGAGGGGTGGGGCGGGGGTGGCGCCAGAGTGGGCAGCAAGATTTGAGCTGGAACACATGGGCAGGCCAGACTGATACCCTTTGCCAGGAGCCAATGTCTAGTGTGAGCAACTCCAAGTCCTGACACACGCTGGCAAATTCTTCACCCTCCTTGGTAGCCCTGGGCATTTCGAATCCCTGTGAAGAACTGGGGGCCCTTGGAGGTCACAACCCACAGGTCACAGGAACCAGACTGAACCAAGCCTGGCTCCATACCACCCTCCCATCTCTATACCTAATACAGTCAAGATTGTCAAGTCTAGCCTAGCAGAGGGAACAGGTTCTTCTCTGATTGGTGATTGCGTAAGGATTTGTGTCAAGATCATGCTGAGGTCCAGTCCCAGCTGTGAACACTGGAGTCTACAGAATACGAGTTTGCAAAGAGGGGAGACGGGCACCCCAGACCACCACAGCCGGCCATGAATAAACAGAGGAAGGGTGGAGGAAGGGTGGCGAGAAGGGCGCACACAGAACCCAGAGAGTGACGGAA